CTCTTTCCCCTTCAATCATTATCCTACCTTTTCCAATCTGATACAATATCATAACATCATCATCAAATGGATCTGCAAAACTAGTCCTAATAGCTCCCATGAGGATATGTATGGGGATATAATTCTAACTTTACCTCAAGAGGAGTTCCTTTATTTCCAGTTGGTAGTTGAACACCAATGCCATTTCCTCTTGGATATCGGAAACAACTAGGTCGATCATTAATGGCTGCTGCAGTGGCAACCATGTGGAAAAGCTCTGCTTCATCAGAAGGAGCCATCACCACCATGTTAGGGAGGCATGCCATAAATGTGACATCAAAAGAACCACAATGTGTAGGACCATCTGCCCCAACTAATCCAGCTCTGTCCATTGCAAATCTTACAGGCAGTTTCTGCAAATCTACATCATGCACCACCTGTGGAATGGACATGGAACACATACTTTGAGCACTGATTTCAAAGTTAATGTTATAGCGGTCTACTGGTCATGTCTTGACCACTAAAACTCATCATCTTATCATTAACAGATTCTTAAGAAAGTAGTTATATGTCTAACTCAACTTTACAAAACCAATTTGTAAGGTAAGCACAAAGCAGAAATTTTTTGTATCTAGGGAGAGGAGTTGTTATCATACCTGGTCATAAGCCCTCTGCATGAATGATGAGTAAATTGCACAGAAAGGCTTAAGACCTTCACAAGCTAGACCTGCAGCAAATGTTACAGCATGTTGTTCTGCTATCCCTACATCAAAGCATCTTGTTGGGAAACGGCGATGGAAGAGATTCATGCCGGTTCCACCTCCCATAGCAGCATGGATTGCAACAATGTCTTTGTCAGCTTCAGCTTCTGCAATCAAAGCCTCTGCAAAGTATGTCGTGTAAGACTGAGTGGGAGCCTTGGATTTGAATTGCTTCCCAGTTGGTGGATCAAACTTGGTAACCCCTGTAAAATCAAACCAAAGTCATGACCCATGAGGAATATGTTATTTACATGATTATATTTTTATTGGAAGTTTATATTTCAAGAATTTTGTAGGCTAAATTCAGTGAGAAACTGAGGGTTGATATTCTAAGAGACAACTAATTTAAGCTAGAGAAAGTGATTTTTCCTTTCAAATTCCCATTGAGCAAGAGAAGAGCACACACTACAATAGGCTAACTAATAATAAAAATTGTATTAATACTAATACTAAATAACATTTGATTTTGGAAGCATAAAGCAAGGGCATGAGCTGTCATATCATATGCTTCAGCCAGCCATGGTCAAAGCCAATAGGTCACTAAACAAACATTTTTTTTCTTCAGATTATTGATTATATTTCACAAGGCATAGTGAAGGTAGTTATTGCTCAGAGGTATTAGGTGCGCTCTAATTTTGAATTACCAAAATTTGATATATTAGTTTTATGAATTATGTTGGATGAATATTGAGAATTTAGTGATTATTCCTTTACCGTGGTACTTGTCTGCTGCTTTTTCTGCATATGGGTATCCGCGGCCTTTTTCAGTGATAACATGGATCAAAACAGGACCGGTTGATTTAGTACTTTTAACTTCATCGAGAATCGCAACAAGATCATCTATGTTATGACCATCAACAGGACCAATATAGTAGAGTCCAAGCTCTTCAAAAAGTGATGATCCAGAACCACTGATCATGCCACGAGCATACTCGTCAACTTTTGCAGCCAATTCATGCATGGGACCTCCAATTCGTTTAGTAACTCCCTATGACATATCATTTTGTCAAGATTCAGTTGCAATAATACTTTGCAATTGCAAATCCCTCATTTATAAACTCGTGAACTTGTATCACTCACCTTGGCAACCTCTCTCAATTCTCTAAGAGGCCTATTTGATTGCAATCTACTGAGAGCACTACTCAAGGCTCCTACAGGTGGTATGGGTCCATCAAGAGTAGCAGTTGGTAAGGAGACCTGTTTGTTGTCATTTAGAATAACAATCATGTCAGAATCAAGATATCCAGCATTATTCATGGCTTCATAAGCTTGCCCTGCTGTCATGGCACCATCACCTATAACAGCAACTACATTATTCTTTCTTCCCATCAAATCTCTCCCAACAGCCATTCCTGTTGATTCAATAAAACTTCAAAAGTTAAAAGCCAAATTACAAAATCCCTTTGTCAAACAGGAAGGAACAAACTCGTATCACCTTATGTTATCATTCATGAAATACTTTGACTTTAATTTCTATAAATTTCGATATAAAAATCTTTACGCTGCCAACCAATTCAAAATCATACAGTAATAAGTATGCTTTGATGATAGTTATTATAAAAGTCAGTGAACTTGAGCTAAACAACAATCTGTGATTGGATGACTGTTTACATGATCAATAATAGACTATTTGTTCATATTTTATTTAACCAATCCTTTACATGAAACCCAGAGAGCAGATAGAAGAAGTACCAAGTCCTGCTGAGATAGTGGTTGAGCTGTGACCAGTGCCAAAACAATCAAATTCACTCTCAGAACGTTTGATGAACCCAGATAACCCATTTGTCTGCCTCATGGTATGCATCTTGTCCCTCCTACCCGTGAGTATCTTATGTGGGTAAGACTGAAAATTCATACAAGATTGTCCAATTTAAAAAGTGTAACCCCCAAGGAAAGTAACTGAAAACACCAACAAATTGATAGCAAACCTGGTGACCAACGTCCCACAATATCTTGTCCTGAGGGGCATTGAAGACATAGTGGAGGGCAACAGTGAGTTCTACCACACCAAGGCTTGAGCCCAAATGACCCCCAGTTCTAGAAACACTGAAAATAACATCAGAACGTAGTTCATCCGCAAGTTGCTTCAGCTCCTGCATCAATCAATATCCGCACTTTCACATAACCATCATATCATTATAAAAATAATATTTTTTTGTTCTTGTTACAAAACAACCAACGTACATTAGGTACACGCTTTCAGTTACCGTACCTTGGTAGAGAGATTTTTCATGTGAATTGGATAGTTTATGGTGTCCAAGAGTGGAGTTGGCGGCCTCTGAGAATAATACTCCCCTCTCTCTGATAGTGATGCATAAACCACACTTGACCTTTTCTTCATCTATACAACGCACACACATTTATTCAGCAATCAGAAAAGAAAGGTTTGAAGAGGAAGACAGCTAAAATGAGTGAATCTGGAAGAAATGAAAATGCAGTAGAGGAAAAGGAAATCCAAATATGTAGTAACCTGGTTGAGCCTGTGGTGGGATGGAAGGAGGAAATGGAGACCCCATTGAGAGTGAGAAGGTGTTAGACGGTTTGCAAAAGCAGGATATGATGAGAGTGCGGAGAGATCCATGAAATTGGAGAGAAGAGAATGAGAGTGAGAGGAGAAAGGAACGTGAAAGAATCTTTATAGTAGAGAGAATGAGACGGTGAAAAAGCCGGCACTAACAAGAGATCGTGGGGGATGGGGTGGATGGAGTTGACTAATATTATATTATATTTGAAGGAAGGACTAAGGACTAAGGAGAGTGTGTGGTTGAAGAGAAGAAAGCATAGTTTGTATGGAAGTGTTGTTTTATGATAGTTTGTGGATGTGGTAAGTGAGGAGTTCTACCATTGGGCCACGTCACAGGAAATCACAAATGGATAGATTCATTGGATAGACAGACAGATATTGCATTGCCGCGTCTCTACACTATCCTCACATAATGGGAATTACAATCAACTCTCCAATGTCCTTTCAACACATAACATTGCTTCTGCTTTTCCTAGATGTCATGTGCCACGTCAACTAACTCGTGTTCTTGTTAGCTAATTCTTCTGTGACGTCTAGATGCTATGTATGTTAGATGATCTCTTTGCCAAGATAAATCAAAAACCAAGAAATCAGGGAGCAATTCTAGATAAATTGTTGTAGATGAATCATAATCTAACGTAAATAATATTTAGATTATGATTAGGATTTAACCACACTTATATAACTTAGACATGAAACGGTCCAACCAGCAAATATAAACAGGGTTGAGTTTTGAAAATATTTTATAAAAAAGTTCATACAATACAGTAAAAAATATGATGATTGAATCGACTCTAATACGAAGAAAACTTTACTAACTTGGTTTCGGTGTTGTTTTTTAATTTTGTTGGCGAGGTGTCCAAAAGTAGTCAAAGTGTGAACATGCATGGTATGAAGCCTTTCAAGTGAGGCCACGAGGCATCTTTGACTACCCCTGCTTGTTTGTTGACCTACGGTACGCGTGGCTTCGAATAGCCTTGGGTTCCTATAAAGTTCCCTCCATAAACCCAATTAATCATATTAAACCTATCAAAAGACAAAAGGTTTGTGATTGGTTTATATTGTATAACTAACTTCTACAGAACTTGGCATTCGTTGCACTAATATTTTATTACAGAAAATTACACCCCATTCGTTTGTTTATTATATTTTATATTATGACACTGTGTAGTGTGTACAAAGGAATAAGAAAATAAGGAAATTTCATCTTTAAGATTCAATTATGGTCAACTAGACTAAGGAAACCTATCAGCTTAAACAAATTAGCTATGTTAGCAAAACGGTTATTGTCTCGCCCGTTAGTAACTCATTAAATGATGGTTAACTTGCTTTTGTAAACTGAGAGATGAAAGTAGATTAAGTGGCTAAACTTTGTTAGAATTGAGTTTGTCTACTTATTATCAAAATAGCAGTTCATTGTCTTTTGTCTATACTCTACAATGACAATAAATAAAACACCTAGTCTTGAATTTTAATAAGTATTCTCTAACCTAACCTACAAACTTATTTTGTAACAAGGAAAATAAAAATAAAATAAAAAATAAAAAAAAAACAACGTCCAAATAAGCTAATAGATTATAGATCTGAACCAATAACCTAACATATTTAACTAAATAAACAACTCTTGTATATAGACCAACTGACCAAATGTGGTATGATCTAGACCAAATATATATATATGATAAAAATAGATTTTAAGTATATTTTTAATCTTCCATATTTAGGATAAATTTAATTTTGTTACTCAAAATTTAAATATTTTTCTTTAATTCCTTAAATTTTCATAACTTTTGTTTTAGTACCTCAGTTCACAAATAACATACTTAACAATAATAGATTGAGACAATTATGTAATATTAATTAGTTCTAATATGATTTTATCACTAATAAGAATCTTAGTAAATAAATTTGAATATAAAAACTAAAACAAATTTTTTAAAATTACATAAAAAATCAATTTTAAATTTGAAAAATTAAAAATAAATTTACCTTAAATTTAAAATATAAAAAAATTAAGTCACTAAGGAATAGTTTATTATGATAAGAGATTTGACACCTACGATTATCTTTATATCCTTTACATACAAACATAAATAATGCATCCAAAAAAAAATTATTTACTTATCCAAATTTCTTATTCATGAAATATCTTTCTTTTTCCGTAAGTACAAAACGCAATTAGTTTTTTTTTTATTTTTATACTAAAAGAATCATATTCTTTACATTAAGATTTTGAATACAATGAGAGGTCTTGTTAAAAATACTTCCATAATCATATAAAATAAAACCTCTAATTAAGGAATGAGTTACCAAATATTTTCTTTACTATATTGAATAATAATGGGAAAAAAATATCTCATAATTTATCTAATTTAATTAAAAATCACGTCAAATATATATATATATATATATATATATATATAATTTTTTTTTTTTTGATCCACTGTTAATTTATAACTTGATTTAATTATTACATTATAAAATTGATGACTATAAAATCAATTAAGGATATACAATACAACACTTATTTCACCCTCCTTTACCAAGATATTAACAACGATAAAAGTAGAACTTGTTTTCAAAAATCACCTCTTTTATCCCTTAAACAAATTATAATTCCTTCCTTTTTCAAAAAAAAAAAAAGTTATATCACAATTACACTTCAATTTCTCTAATAAAAATGAAATCTACCCATTTAAAAAAGATTCCATATCCTTCACACAAATAAGTGTCATTTGATTGAGTGGTGTCACTAATTATCACCGCAATTTGATTTAGCAAGAAAACGGACCCTTTCAATACCGATTCAGTGGCAACAGATTCAGGAAAAAACATGAGGTGAATATTAGTTTCAGTGGCATCTATAAAATAAAATGAAGTTGGTAACATTCTGATCTGTTAACATTTTGCAAGCCGTACGTTGCTAGGAATCCGTAGACGAATAATCCAAGTGCAAAAAAAAAAAAAAAATAGGTTGACGATAAATCCAAGTGCTAAAAATAAAAAATAGTTAGCTACAAGTACAAGTTGCGAACTATTTAATAATGTTTCGATAAAATGATCCTGTTTTTTTTTTTTTTTCTTTTTCACTCTTGTTGGAAAAATGCATCCGGCCAAACATACTAGACTAGAAAAAATCTTTAAAATTATAATATATATATATATATAGAAAAAAAAAATCAAAATAAACTACACGCCTTAATCCTTTCTCGCTGGACCGAAACACTTGTCGATAAAACAAAACTTTCGACTCAAAAAAAGAAAAACTTAAAACAATATCAAACCGCTTCTATTATATTTTTAAAACTATAATTTTATATTTATATTTAAAATAAATTCTTAAGCCACAAAAATAGTTGGAGGAAACATATATAGATATAATTCATGAACAAAGTATCCGAAAATTGAAAACCGATGAAACAGTCTAATCCAAGTCATTCAAAATGACAAAACCAAGTCATCTGATGGGATTGCCGCCTACGGACTACTAATATTAACATCACATACTTTGTTTAGCTACATTTGTATCTTTGAAAATGTCGTAGTTTTAGCCACAAGAAAGACTGAATTAACCACCTTCAAATCTCTGCTTGATGGCAAATCAGCGTGGACTGCAGAAAGGAAAAGAAACTAATCAGCCACTGAAATGCCATTTTCAATGAGGCTTAAAACACAATTCCCTATCATCCTACCAAGTTATCATTTTAGTCAAACAATACGATTTAGTGTTTGCTTCAAAAATATAACAGGCATTTGAACTTCAAGGTAACCCCATCTAGAAAACATACATGTCCAAATGTCAGCACGTGATTTCTTGACGAGAGTTGTTAATGTATCCAACACTCTGACAGAAGATGTTCAAACTAATATATAACAGTAAACTTTCACTTAACAATGAGTTAATGATTATTGTTTAACCCCATGCAAAAAATAAACAGTGTTATACTTGTTTATTCAAATATTTTACATTTACTACTAAAAAAAACCCTAACTGTTAAGGGGTTTTGTCTCTAATATTCGAGATTAAGCACTAAATGGCTCTAAAATGAGCTTGATTCTACAGTCTAGTGTGAGCAAGGACGAATGAATTAAAGATATATTCATCTTTACTCTAGAATTAAAGCTATATTCATCTTTATTCTAGAGGAGCCTTATTCCGTTATTCGTAATTATGTCACCCTACTACCAGATTATATTTCCAGAATTCTAACTGCTTCAAAGTCTTTAACAGAATCTTAAAGAATATATTTTAATTAGCATAAATTTGATTTGATTAGAATTGCAATCGTGTCATATTCAATCAATAAAATACTCTTAAAACTCATACCTGTATGATCGTGAACGAGACCTTGAAGGACTGCGATCATTACCCCTAGGACTCGGGGATCTGCTAGGTGTCTGATCCTTCTTGTCATTAGGACTCCGGCCATTCTCCCTGGGATGTGGGGACTTCCTGTAGTCCTTCCCACCACTAGGAGAGGGAGACCTAGAATAAGATCTTGAACGCTCAGGAGAATAATAATCATCCCTACCCCTGTCATCCCTATATGTCAACGCATCAGTGAAGGATCTAATTATACACCAAAGTGAATAAAAAAGAATCGCTAAAGCAACACAATTACATATGCTACACATTAAAAGAAAAGAATACCAACCATAAACATCTCATAAATCAAGAGATCTGAATATATGCAACTACAGCAGAATACACGGATAATTAAGCCCAAAATCACTCAAACCAAAATTTTAATTTTTGTTTCATATGTGAGAACTAATACTTACTTCAATACTTCCTCTTCAAAATCTAATTAGCCAAAATATGACCTTTACCTGTACCTTTCCATAGTTTCTGGACAAATATATGACACTTTGATCCAAACACTGAGAGTTATGAATGATGTACTGCAAGATCAGCATCTGGTAACTTCATAGCTCTCTTTGTCCCAACTTTCTAAAATCACAACTACCTTTCTTGCACAATGTCATCATATCTCTACACGTATAAACTTTGGCTTCCATTCTTTGAGGATGTGATTTTCTTTGACCAACTATAAGCTCTATATTCTTTCTTAACTGGATAGTCTACGCAAAACAAGATATTAAACTAAATAGAATCTTCCTCACAGAAAATTTATACAAGGGAATCGAAAGTACTCATTTGAACCATTCTTCAGTCACAAACCAAACACCACAAAGAAGGGAAAGCCCATGCAACTGGCACAATAAGGCAATTTTGATATGGATATTTCTTATGGAGACTTTGATAGATACATAAGCAAGTAGCGCATCACTTTAAGCCTCTTTACTCGTTATTCTTTATTAATCCATCTTTAAAGTCTTCCATTTCACTTTATTCTCTGCATAAAGAAGACCATAAGCAGATATCATTCAATTCATTTAAACACATTAAAGGAGTGTTGTCAAGGTCAAATGATTTGGAGCTGTTCTAATTGCAAGTAAACCTGCAAATTATACTCTAGCTGAACAAGGAAATAGCACAATTATCAACATCAATATAAATCAGCCTGCCACTTTGACTGTCTAGCAGTACAGACACTGCCAAAACACATACACATTATACTATTAAATTAGAAGAAAAAAAAACCTAATAACCAACTCAACAAGTGTTCTTCTAAGAGAGAATTTCAATAAGATTAAGGACACGATTTAAAGTTGCTGACAAAACAACGCAAATGAAATTAAGGAAATAAATCAATAACTCAAACTAAAGGTACATGGCACCAGCACTGTTTACAATAAAGAAGACATCCAATTCAAAGAAAAATTTTAGGCCTATGTTACAGATAGTGTATTATTCAATGGCCTGAATAAGTTTCAGATCGGTAATAATACCATGTAGTTCCAACTTTCATCAGACAAATGAATTGCAACAAAAATGTGATTTCTATAACACAATTAATGTAATAAAATCAGCAAGCAAACTCAGATTCTACGGGTTTTTATGTACACTCTCAAGAAAATAGCAAAAAGGTACAAACAGTTCATTTACTTTGACAACCTATAGCTCTCATACTGAGAAACTTAGATCATAATTCAACCAAATATCTCATTAATATAATCTATACCGATAATAAAGGAAATTACCCCATTTCGCATCCACATTATTCGGACAATTTTGTCCTTGTAACTACTACTTAGACTACCCTTTTTTTTCCCACTATTTTTTTTTATTTTTTTTTATTTTTTCTACTATTGAAAACCACTCAAAAACTACTCATACAACTACAATTACTTACAAATTATCCATATCATTAACAACTTACTTTTACTTCATTTTTATTTTTTAGATTATTAATGACTCACTTTGGTTTTATTTTTTAAAAATACACACATGGAGGCACAAAATGCCTTTTTGACGCTAGAAATCTGTAGGATTGCAGCTCAAATGAAATCACTTGCGTCTTAGAAAATGCAAGTATTTTATGATGTCCTGTAAAGAATATTTCATTACCTAAATACTAGGAAATGTAAGACCATCATCATTATAATGAAAAATACACAAATTTGTGATATTGCTCAATAAAATGAAAATTAAATTATTATTATTATTGTGTTATAAACTCAAACCTTGAATCATCCCGAGCCGGTGACGGAGACCGAGAGTAGGCTGCATATTAATGCATGAAAATAATAAATGCATTATAACAAAAAATAAAAAATCAAGAAACAACTCCCAGTAGATAGATTAAAACCAAAATGAAAGTGAAAATTAATGTACTATGAAACAAATTTAGAAATGAGTACTTAAACTTACAATGATATCGGCGCCGTGGGGATCTAGAGCGATTCCTCCTTCTACCACCACCACCACCTCCATATCGACCACTTGTAACAGAAGAACACAATAAAGTTTAATAAACATTTTAAACAGAAGAAGATTTGGCATATTCTAAAAATTGAAATCAACTAATAAATCAAACTGTACATGTAATCACACACCTTCCTCGAGAATTAACACGCATTTCTTGAGGAGTTTTCCTATTTTCCTCGGCAAAAACAATTCTAATTTCACGGCCACCAATGATAGTATGATTAAGATGTTGCTTTGCCTCAGCCGCATCTTCACCATATCGATATTTTACAAATCCAAAACCACGGGGCTCACTACAAAATCAATTCAATTAAATTTCAATGTTGTAAAAACAAAATAAAGGAAGTTCAAGATATCAATGTACGAGAAAAGCGATCAACAAGCCTAGCTGAAGCAGATTGTGTTGATAGTAAAGCTGAAATACCCAGTGTAGTAATTTTTAGGAAGATAAACATCCTTCACAGGACCATAGCGCTCAAATGGAATCCTAAGATCCTCAGGCCTGCATAATACAAATTTAAATTTTCAATTTAATTTCTCTAATTCAAATGTTGATTGGATAAATATAACAGAATGGCATGAAACAGAATGGTGATAACAGAAAGAATACATCATGTAAGTAAACAGAACGATAATTAGGGTGCACGAAGATGAATGCAATGCAAAGGCAGGGAAGGGAAGAAGACCTAGCGTCAAGGGGGAGATTACGAACAAGCAAGCCGGAGGGAAGGGGTGAGCGGCGGTCTCTGTAAGACCTGCTGTCAGCGTAGCGATCATCGACATAGCGCTTGCGTCCACGCGGTGGGGTCCTGCTTCGCCGGCGAGGGCTATAGCTTCTGCTCCGGCTTCGGTACCTTCCCATTGCCACACAAACCCTAGCTTTCGGAGAAAACCCTAACACAAGGAACAATACGACAAAACATAATAAAAATTAAACTAAAGAGGATATATATAACCGATTCGGTCAAGGGGTGTAAACGGGTCGATCCCAACTTATCCTGATCCGACCCAATTAATTTTCACCAAATTAAGTTGGACATCTTTCCTCTACTCTAGTATTTCTAAAACTAATATTTATAAGAATCATATTATATTTACATTAATTAAAATGATTTAAGATATGTATTAGTAAATATATGATTACTAAATCATAAAAAAATATATATGATCATTCAAATATATATCAATGTTCATAATAACTTAAATATATTTTTATAAATATTGAAATATATACACTAATATTTATTTTAAATTATAAAATAACTATTGTTTTAGTATTATAATAATACACAACATTAATATTTATTTTATAATTAAATATATAAATAAATACTTATAAAATTTAAATTATATTATATTTAAAAGTATTTTAAATATATAAATCAATTCTTGTATACAAAATATAAATGATTATATTGTCTAACAACATTTTATTATTTTTTTATCCTCATTTTTCTAACACGTCACTAATATTAAAGTATTTATTTTATTTAATATAATAAAATGTTATGCTATATTATATATTTTAATATTTTTAAAGATATTAATATTACAAAAATAGTTGCAATGAAGATTGAACCTAGGTCCTCATGCTTCTAACTACCTCAATCCCTCCCTACCCAACCACATATTTTAATATATTATAAGTCATGTAGTAGGAAATAATAGAAAGATTAGACGGAGAAGTGAATATATATTTATATTTATTATATGAAAATATTAAACATTAAATTTTTATTTTAAATTTTATATTAAAAACATTTTTAACATTACCGCATTAGTTAATTCTATTTTTAGTACAAACCATTGTGAAAAAATATTTTTTTATTTAATATTATATCTTTATTATTTTAATTTAAAAAATTATTCAAATATGGTCATCTATACTCTACTACCTTGAAGTTTGTTTATATGACATTAAACTTATTTTAATATTGAGACTATTTATTTAAACTTATTTTTTATAAATATTAATTAATTTAAATTAAATAAACAATTTGTTATGTGTTTATATAATTTTAATAAAAAAATACTTAATTTTCTATTTTTTTATAATTAATCAACTCTTATATATTTCTTAAACTTTCTTTTTAAAAAAAGATATTTAAAAATATCTTTTTAAGAATTTAAACAAACAAACATGCATGTTATACATAAGACTAAGAATAAGTCATACCTTAAACAGAGAATTTATGGACTGACCTCTTTAAAACTTAGTCAAGCCTTATTTGTTTAATAGAAATATTAAATTTAAACTTTTAAAAGAATTATTTATATAAAAAGATCATACTTAGATTTATATAAAAGTCTGTTAAGTTTAATAAATGAGCATATTTATTTATATAATATAATAACAAAATTAATATATATATATATATATATATTAAAAATATAAATAAAGAAATAAATTTATAATTAAGTTTATAAAATAAAATAAATTATTAATATTTGAAATATTTTTTATACAAATCTGTTTTCATTATAAATTTATATGTTTACGACTTGCGCATGAGTGTATATTAATGTTGCATGTTTGGCAAGTGTACTAATCATTACTGGTAATAATATTATCGTCTTCATGAATTGAATTTGTTGAATATTAAAAATTCACTCAACATTAAAATTGTTAGAGAATTGACTTCATATTCTTTCCTATAGATTCCTACCTTTTTCAATTGATGCAAAAATTGTAATTACCCGCTTCAGTTTATTAAGAGTTGTTTACCCCTAATCCATTAGGCAAGTAAATATATTCATTGAAAATTGTAATCCCCAATTCCTTAAGAAAATTATGAAATTCAATAGAATCATGAAGAGAAGTTATCATCTCAAACACAAACTAATTAGATATGCCCAATTTTCCAATTGTGACAAAATCTAATATGTTATATCTATAATCGTAAACAATCTCCATCTTCCAATTTTATCATCTCAAACACAAACTAATTAGATATACCCAATTTTTCAATTATGACAAAATCTAATATGTTATATCTATAATCGTAAACAATCCCCGATCTTCTAATTGTGAAATTGTTCATAGAATAAACATTAGAGACATGGATAGAACACTTGGATAATTAAAATTAACTAAACATCAATTGAAAATGTTTAGAAGCTATGATCCAGAATATTACATCAATACTCAAACAAAAAAAAAAATAGTTCTGCATAATGTAAAGGAAAAACCAAAAGAGACTAATAAGTCGTTCATCTTGAAGATCAATTTTTTTTCTCTTCTAATTATTCGCTCTTCTGTTTTCAGACTTTTTTTTTTTAATTACTAAGAGTTATCTTTTTCTCTTCTTTTCATTTGGCCTAAGTCCACTTAAAATTCATACTTAATAAAGCCACAAGTACGAAAAAATCTATCTGTAAAATTCTCTTACTTCAACTCTTCCGTCTTGATACTTGTTCTCCTTAGACCATGATTTAAGCACCTAAAACACTTATTTACAAAGAAAAATAAGAAACCAAAAGTGTAATGTAAAACAAAGATAATGCAAGATAAAATCATTTAAACAACGCAATAATTTATGCATATGGCCTAAACTAAAGTATGAATGCAAAAATAATTTATACACACCTCAATTAACATATATGGTTACACATAAATTGTTCATTCAATAGAAAAATGATTCAATTTTTCTCTTATATTTTTTAAAAAATTAAAATTTTAATAGTGTTGAGTAAATTATATTTTAAATATAATTTTGTTGATTTTTAAATTTTAAGTTTATTAACTTAATTAACATTAATAATTTAAATAGATTTTTAAACAGACTATTAAGTTATGCCAAACTTTAAAAAAATTTGATCATGTCTATAAAAAAATTTATGATAAATAATACGTCAATCTTATGTTTTGATTTTGCACAATAGATCTAACCTGTATATTCATAATATGGTTTAACATACCTATTCTCATTCCTAATTATATCTAACCCCATTTAAAGTATTTAATGAAGCATATTTTGGTTGTGATACTGGGAAGTTTCATTAAACATCAAGAATTTAAATAAAATACTAATTTTATTATATCTAACTTTTATTTTTTGCATTATGATTATATATTTTGGTTATGAGTTTTTTTTCTCTCAATTTTTTGTACTTTTTATAACACACAATAAAATTATCTTTATTTAGTCTTTCACATTAAAAATCAAAATACGTTCTCCTATAACATATCAAATAATATTATATATTATCACAAATCATAATAAAACATTGCATTTTCATAAATTATTATATATTTTTTTTCTATTAGTAAACTTTTAGTTTTCACTTGTCCCATCAAGCATCAAAATAATTTATTATGGTGGTTCTGATATATAATATGATGTCTTAGAATCTAAATTGTAACATTGGACAATTTTAATTATTATTGTTGATTTTATTAAAATTATTGTGTTGTAGTGATTTATTTATGTTTATTGTTGAGAAATTCTATAATAAATATTTTTTTAATAAAATTTTAGTTGTTTGATAATTTTTCTTAATAGAGGTTAAATTTGACCTATAGGAGAGTGTATACAAAGTTATTATTGAGAATTGAGTTTCATAAGTTCATTTTTATAAATTTTAGAGAAATAATATAGAGAGAATTAATAGCTTTAGAACAGTAGTGAAATATTTATCCTCTACTTCACATAATTTCTTCTACCATTCCCCGTTGAAGCAATTGTAGTTATTAGTTGGTAGTTCGAGTTTCCAAGCAATAATCAAATTTGTTGGTGGTGGTGGTGTGAAGTTCTTGGATTTTTGACTTTCTCTTTCATCCTCCTTTGATTCTCTTAGAGATAAAGGTAAGGGAAGTTAAAATTCATTTTTTGTGTTGGTCTATGATGAATGTGTTGTTTGAAATTGTTAAATTTGGTGACTATGTGAATGATTGAGATGGAATTGCATGTTGTGGAGTTCTATTGTTATTGAACATATGGAAGTAAATTTGGTGAATCTGGTTTTGGGATGGTTGCATGTTGATTACGAAGTTGGATTTGTGTTGTTTGAAGTGTTTATGCATGTTATCATATGTTGCATGTTGAAATTTTTTTGAATTTCAAGTGGATCGAGCAATTTCATGATTATGCTTGCGTAAAAATCACCATCGTATCAGGCGTATCTTCATGGCATCGAGCATGACTCAAATCAAGGGTTCTCTACTCTAATCACGTCGGACGCATAATTGATGATATCGAACGTGAAGGGATAGAAAAGTCTCTAACTTAATCACGCCAAACATGGGTAAAATGGTGTCAAGTATGAGGAGAGAGAAACATTTATTACTTAGTGATGTCAGACCCTAACAAAGGGGACGTTATACATAATCAAGACAAATTTCTCTGCCTAAACGACGCCAAATGTCAATTCATTGACGCCAACATGAGTTAGACAAAGACTCTCTACTTAAAATGGGGTTAAACGTTGGTTTTGGCTATGCCAAGCATCAAAGAAACAAGGACTATTTAACTTATCCATGGTGGGCGTTGGGAGTTTGGCGCCAAGCATGGGCAAGCCTAAGATCTCTTTGCTTTAATGACACTATGCACGAAATGAGTGACTCAAGCTTGTGTTGCCTATTTAAAATGTGTTATTTTTGGCTAAGTGTTAAGCATTGTATAAGTAGTAGGAGAACATATATGTTTTATGTTATTGTATGATATCATTTATTTATACATTTATGTATATAGTTGATTTAAACAGTTGGAGTATAACATGAGTTTTATGTCATATCGTGTCAAATAATTATGTTGAGGATGCTTAAGGCTTAGAGTTATATTGAGTTGATTGACTTAGGACTAGAGGAGGGATTGTTTAAAAACTTGGATATCCCATTGTAATGATATTGTTGTGGTGCTTTATGAACTCAATTGTTGAAAATCTTTATTGAGTAGTCAACTCTTGAAGTGGATAGTTAA